GTGCGGGGTGGAGAGGAGCGTAGGATGTGGTACGTGGAGGCACGGGTGGGGGGGTGTACGAGGGGTCGGCGTGTGTGGGAGTGAGGGGGGTGGGTGGTGGGGCGTGGGGGGGGGAGGGTATGGATATTTCTTGGAACCACACAATTTTCATTTTGAGTTTCCCAAGTCTTCCAAAACTTCTTATTATTCGTTGTTAGAAGTTTTAAGGAAACGAGGAAAGGAAAAATCTCTTTTCTACTTAGAGTAATCTTTGCACCTGCAGCGGCCACCTACAGCTATTTAAGCTGGCTAAAAATTTTAAAACCTCAGTGGACCTATGAGATTCGAGGCCCTTTTGATAGCCTTCTCAAAGTGTACTCATGCATAAAACTTCACCAAAATACCACACAATACAGAAAAGTGTAAAGCAATATTTGTATTTGTATTTTATTTTTACTCTATCCTATAGATAATACATTAGTTGTACAATATCAAATTATTACAAGGTTGATTAAACTACGTGTACATAATAAAAAAAAGAAAGTTAGAAAAGCAATGTGAAAATTACAACCCCATTCAGACAGGAAATACCTAGCATCAAGCAATACCTACAGTACCTTCAACTTTTGAAAACTACCTGGATGCAATTTTTATTTGCAGCTTTTATAGAGTTTGACTGTTCAAAGGAAAGCTTCGTAAGTGAACTGTCTGCGCTCACCTACTTCAAGACAATTTTTAATAGCTTCAAGATTTATGGCAAAGAAAAGATCAACGCGAAAATTAAAAAAACAATCTATCAAAGTCACGTGGATCAAAGTTGTTGATATTTGCCATGTCAGAAAAGGCCGCGTAACGAGCTCCATCCATGTCACGTGCTAACTGATTATCATGTCTTAGGCGATGATTATGACCACCAATCGATGAGCCACATTCTGGACAGCGGCCCTCCTCCATCGCACCGCCACACTCTGTGATGCAGTAAATGTGTCCTATAATGAGGTGAGAAAAGCAGATCCAGGCTACAGTCATTCAAACTGGGCACTAGGTTTCCTTTAGGACTAAGTAAGGGGATCGATGTTAAAAGCGGAGGTGTTGGCTGGCTGGTAGGAAGGACAGAGGCCGGGTTGACGGGTGTTTGCTAAGGTTTAATTTTGACGAACTGAGCCCTTTTTTGGTTTAAATTTCATTTGGAAAATTCTGAAACATCCGTATAAACTTAAAAATTTATGTTTCGAGGTTTCGTTTGACACTGTTCGTTTGTTTTGTCGACACCTTATAGTTATGTAATAGGTATCGATGTATAAGTATTCGTGTTTATTATTAGTATCTTGTAATAGTATTATCTTGTCATAGCGACACTCCCCTCAATTGTGTCCGTTGTAGTTAAATTTTCAAAAATTATAAAAGCGAGAAAGGAAAGATTCTTCTCTTGTGATAACCTTACTCGATTAAAGAAACTGAGAGGAAGGAAGGGACAGCGCTTCTTTCTGTTAAGGGGGGGGGGGGGGGGGGGGGTG